TGGCATCATTGGTCCAGTGAGGGACGAGGTCAAAATAGGACACCAAGAGCCTCTTGCAGAAGTCTGTGGTGGGGACAGAGCGATGTTGTGATACTGAGTTCTCTCTGCCACTTGCTTGAGAATGCAGAGGGAAACCTCTAGGGACCAAGACAAGAGGGTGGTTAATCATGTGGGACAAGTAGAAGTACCAACTTTGTAATTGGATTAATTACAGATATGTTCCTTAGCCTCTTGGAAGGAAGCACTTGGCAAGTTGACTTTTGCTATTCTCAGAAATTCCCCAGACAGGAGATGCTAAAAAGTTTAGGGAATTAAATTCTCTGATTGAAGTCTACATCTCCTACACCTTAAATGCTCCCAGCTTCACAGTGCAGCAGATAATTTCCTCAAACCTCATTTTGATGGATTTTAGAGTAGAATGGCCCTGTTCTGTTCCCCTGTAACTTTCTAGTGAGAAGGTTATGAAGTGTTGGAGGCACATGGAGGTGGTAGCATTGATGGTACTTGGTGAGTCCACAGAAGAAGATCAGAATTTAATGGCACCTTTATGTGTGGAACAGATCCTGAGTCTGTTCATTCACTGAACCCTTACCATGGGCGGGCAGAGCCTCCAGCAGAGTCTTTCACACACACAAGGGCACCCTTTCTGGTGTTACTCTGGCTTCCACACACTTCCATGTATAAGAAGGCTTTCTTAGATTTGCTCACTCTTTCAGCTGATGGGGCAGACCTTTGACATCACCCTGTTAGTCTTTCCTGCCTACTTAAATGACAGGGTGAGGAAGTAACTCTGCATCTCAGCTGAGAGCAGATGTTACAGTGATTCTCACCAGAGCTACTAGTAACATGGCCAGTGTGGAGCCATTTGCAAGGCTAGTTTTTAATTAACTACTGACTCATACATTTTTGAGATATTCTTTTGAAAAATTCAAGGGGCCTAAGATATTCTCACAACTGGCCTTCTCTTGTAGAAATGAGGGTTTTCGTCCCACTTGAGCCAGGATGGAGATTAAACTCTTTAGAAGCCTGCATTTTACTGAGGACCACCTTGAATCAAGATTTCCAAGATTTAGATCAATGAACTCTAACATATGCCTTTTATTTCTCTGATCAGTTTATCTATAGAGGTTGTTAGTGAAGCAAATATGTTTTCCTGGGGTGACTTGTGGAAGTGATTCAGTCTTCCAACTACAAAAGATTCAGAAGATAAAGTTAAGAATCAAGGCAATAAACAACATTCAAGATGGGTTCAATCACTTAATCTCTATGAAGCATGCTTTGGAATTATTTTCACAGAGACCTTATTTTTTTTCTTATACTTGATATCCCTACACATATGTTAGCCTCTGTGCTGTTTACAAGACACGCACAGTGATACCTTGGTTTTGACATGGATTTAGTCACAGATGGAGGATGCAAGGATCAAATAAAAACTCATATACATCTGAGTTCCCAGCTCTGAGGAAGGTATGACACAGGTCATAAGAGACACTTCAAAAACCTTCAAAGCTTACAATCTCTATTATGTTGGAGAAATGTGACGGGGGCATGTGAAATTGCTAGAGAATAATATAATCATTGGTGACAAAGTGCTGGAGCTAAGATCCCCAGTCACCAAGGCATGACTGGCATGCACAGGCTTCTTTCCCTCGCAGTTCACTTTGGCCGACTCTGGAAATATCCTCTCCCCACCAGTATCTCTGAGTTCTGCTCAGGATCTCTGCACGGAAATTATACCTCAGGAAGGTGGAGAACTGAGCAAGAACAGATTATTGTTCATTTTCTTGCTGGTATGTATTTTTAGATCCTGTTCTAGCTTTGCTTTGCTGGTGTTACAAATAGTAATCTCTCTCATTGACCACTACTTCTGTTCTGGAAGCTGGCCATGTGGGCAGGAGGGGAGGAGCCAGTGGGTGAGAGGAAAGTGAAGTGGGTCTAGTCTAGCCTCTGCCTGAGAAGCCACATGGTGCTGGGTCCAGATTCCCCTTCTGTGGGAGGAGGAATCCATGAGCTTCCTTCCAAATCTAGCAGCTTGTGATGACCCAGTGAGGGAACTAGCAGGAGAGACCCTGCTTGACTCCTCTGGTGTGGGATGTCATTGGAGGACAACATGCAAGCAAAGGATGCTGGACAAGGCTGGTCAGAACAGTTTTATTTTTCAGAATCCACAGAATGAGGAGTTCTGTGACAGGAAATGTATAATGAGAAAACATAAGATAGGGCAGATTTATTGTGAAGATTTGAAAAATGCTCACAGAAGTCATGTATTGAGGCCACTCTGTCTTAGGCTTCTAAGAGCATCCCAGTTTAGGTTTTCTTAACCACAAAACCTGGAAGCATGCAGTTACTTGCTGGTTGAGAAGAACACATACTTAACTTTCAGGGTCCCTTCCTGGGCTCTGCCAAGGAAGTCAGAATTAAAGTCACTGCACAGGTGACATGACTCTGCACTGTTGTGGTTTACAACTATGATGATCTCATTATGAAATCTCTCTTGAATGTTCTCCATTTCTACTCAGAGTTTTGAAAATGTTAATTTTGTTTTCTTTCTTCCATTGTAAAGACTTAAAAACTGTAACATTTTAGAGAAAAATTTGTTGGTTACACGGTGCATACATATAGGTATATACACTGTATAAACATCTTGCTCTCTTATTTTCAATAATTTTGGAAAGACAAATGCAACTTTTTTTAGAAGATCTGAAATCTAAAGTTGTCCTTACCAATTCTCTGAGAGGAACTCTCTGATACCAAAAGGAATTTTAGAGACAGACAGCATTTACCTTCAAATCTAATTTCACAGGGTATTTGTCTAGTAATAGAGCCATTTTTCTCATTGGGGTGAAGTATTCCATATGTTGATTGCCTAACAAGGATGTCATATCTGTCTTGCCTTAGACCATATTGTGGAACGGATTTTCTACAGTAAGCATCAGAGTTTCTCAGACTCAGTTATTCTGCATTCTCTGAAACTAACCAGGCTTCCTAACAGGGGTAAGACAGAAGCTAAGGTGGGTGGGAAACAAAGTTGCCAAGCTTCAACCATTGTCCTTGGAGGTGGGAATGGAGAAGGTGGAATGTGGGTCATATGAATTTGTTTAATTGATTACTGATGGTAAAACATGCATAACATAAAAATTTACCACCTAAACCATTTTGAAGAGTACAGTTCGTGGTATTCAGGTACATTCATGTTGTGCATCCATGGCTACCCTCGATCTCAAGAACTTTCATTGTCCCAAGGTCTGAACCCATTAATTCTACATCCCCTACCCCAGCCCCTGACAACCACCATTCTACCCTCTGTGTCTATGAGCTTATACCCTAGGGACCCGTGTAAGTGGACTCCTGCAGTATTTCTCTTTTGGGGACAGGCTTGACATGTTGTTTAGCATATTCAGTCCCATTTCATTAGGTAGCTCTCTGTTTTGTATGCTTGTTGTAAGATGCTTAACTCAGAACCCAAATGCTGCAAGACTATCCAAGCAAAGGTGGGTGGTAAGCCAGCCTTGTGGAGTGGGGGTCCTTACTATGTTCCCATCACACACTGCACTGACAGGGTGACAAGCAGAGTTAAAGCATAATCAATTACATTCTGACACTCTTATCAGTTGTACCCCTACAGAGTTATAATTTGTTTTTAAACTCAGCTTTCAAAACAGCGCCATGGAAAGATATTATTAGTTCTGTTTGTCAGATGAAAATTCCAGGCTTTCTAGGGTTTCTGTACTGTTCAGTGCCACACGGCTAGGAAACAGCTGTGCTATGATTGTAGCCAGGACCTCTGATTCCAAACTCAGGGTTCTGTGGCCAGGTCACAGTGCCACGGCTCCTCTCCAGTTCATGGAGGACTGGCCTGGATGGCAAGCTGGCTGTCAAGTGAGGGAATATCTGCTTTGGATAGCTTCCTGTTTGCTGACTGGCTTGTTTCACCCTGTGGCAATCACTACTTTGGAGGCTGTGATGGTGGATTATCTGTGTCTGATCACCCTCTGTCAGTCCTTGGAGGCCACTGCAGTGCATGTTGGGGTCTCTCTAGCATGCCTTTGCTTCAGGAGGCAGTCCTGGCACCTACATCAGGCTCTTTCCCTTTGTGGAATTGCTGTGCTCTGAGGCCCTGAGTGCACATGAGGGGATGTCTGCTGGGCCATCCTCGTGGAATGGTAGGCTGTTATGGAATGTGCCTGACTTTTGAATTGTTTCTTAGACATTGGTCAGGACTATTGAAGCAGTCTGCTAGTGACTCACATCTCCCTCTGCCATCTCTCCCTTTATGGACAATGGTTGAAGTTGGTGACTGTCCTTCCCCCCTCCAGCTTTTTTAAAAACAACTGCAGGGGAGCCTGGTTAGTTCCACAGGTTGTGGGATAATTGAGGTTTAGAAGGTCTATAAAAGGCTTAAGACTGATGATTCACAGATCTGTACCCTGAAACAAATAATACATTATATGTTAATAGAAAATAAAAATAAAAAAATAAAAGGTCTATAAAAGTTCTGTAAGAAATTGGCTCCACATGAAGGTATAAGACTGACCTGAAATCTAAATTATACAACCAGTATGAGACCCACTTCAGGAGCATAAGATTAGTGGAAGCATTTACGTCTTGAAGAATTCAGACCTCAGTTCATGTATGAGCTGTGAGGACTTGGAGGAGGATTGAATCTCTGAGGCTCAATTTTCTCATGTAGAAAATATCCTCTCATTTTTGTTGTAAGAATTCTTTAGCTAATGTAGGTGTGTCTGCATTAGAGAAAACCCTTCAAGGAAGCATTATTACAAACTCAGTTCTATTTTGGGACCAATATCAAACATTTGATGATTGTTTTTTTGTCTACTTGTCTCAAGGAGAACATGTTTTGGAGGAGCCCAAGGCTGAGAGGGGACTCAAGAAGGGAAGAATTAAAATTGTCTTCAACACCTGAGAAGGATTTTTCTAAGTATTGGAGGAGAGTTCTTTGATTTCTTGATTCTATTCCACTAGCCCCTGTGCTTTAAACCATGGCAACTATAAACAATGTGACTGAAATCATTCTCTTGGGGTTTTCCCCCAAACAGGATGTGCAGAAGACCATTTCTGTGATGTTTCTCCTCATGTACACAGCCATTGTGCTGGGTAATGGCCTCATTGTGGTGACAGTCATGGCCAACAAAGGGCTCACCTCCCCCATGTATTTCTTCCTCAGCTACTTGTCCTTTGTGGAGATCTGTTACTGCTCTGTCACAGCCCCCAAGCTCATTCTTGACTCTTTCACTGAAAGAAAAACCATTTCTCTCAAGGGATGCATCACTCAGATATTTTTCCTCCATTTCTTTGGTGGCACTGAGATCTTTCTCCTGACAGTCATGGCCTATGACCGCTACGTGGCCATCTGCAAACCCCTGCACTACACTGCCATCATGAACCGGCGTGTGTGTGGCCTCCTGGTTGGTGCAGCATGGGGTGGGGGCTTGCTGCATTCTGTTGGGCAAATGTTTCTCATTTTCCAGCTACCCTTCTGTGGCCTCAATGTCCTTGACCACTACTTCTGTGATGTCCACCCTGTGCTGAAGCTGGCCTGCTCAGACACCTTCCTCATTGGTGTGCTCATCATCATAAATGGTGGCACCATTTCAGTGGTCAGCTTCATGGTACTACTTGCTTCCTATGTGGTCATCTTGAACTCGCTGAGTATGCGGACCTCAGAGGGTCGGTGCAAGGCGCTGTCCACCTGTGCTTCTCACATTGCCGTTGTGGGTTTGTTCTTCATTCCCTGTTCCTTCGTCTATTTGAGGCCTTGTGTCACCCTCCCTGCAGATAAGATAGTTGCTGTGTTTTACACAGTGATCACACCTCTCTTAAACCCCTTCATTTACTCCTTCAGGAATGCTGAAGTGAAAAATGCCATGAAGAGACTGATGAGGAGGACAGTGATTTGGGAAGAGAAGTAGATGATTTTGTTGGGGTAAATAGGAGGAACAAGGGATGGGAAGTTGGGGCAGTGAGATCTCACTCTGCCTCTACCTTTAATTGATGGGCTGGACTTTCTTGGTCAGTCACCTTTTATTTTTTTCTTTAAATTTTGGTTTTCTCATCTTTATGGGATTGGACAGGATGAAGGAGCCTCTAGAATGAGGTCTAGAGGTCTTCTACTGATGCATTTTCATATTTGACAGTGACCTTGAGGCAGGTTGGCTGTTTTTGAAAGAATGAACTCTTCTAGATAACCAGGTTCTTTCTGGGAATAATAAAGAGGTTAGTAGAAGAGGAGGAGGGCTGCCTTGGGGTCATTGTCCATGTGTCTTTTGTGTGGGAAGAGCCTGAACCTTTGGATTTGGGGAGGAGGAAGGTAGGGAGAGATACAGAAGTCACTCAAGTGCTTAGACATTTTATTAACTTGATATACTGAAGGTTTGCCCAGTGGATTTTGGGCAGCCCAACTGACCTAGAAGGGTTTAGTGCATGGAGCAGAAGCCATTAGAGCTTCAGATATAAAAGTGGTTGTTATCTCTCTCTTTTCTTCTCAATTATCTAATTGAGAGAGCAATATTACATCACTGAACACAAACACTCACTCTTGATATTGTTTCTGAGAATAATATTTATAAATAAACAAGGAACATGTATGTGTATGTATATTTTACTATTAACCAAGAGATTTCGTATATTTTATCTCGTTTAATCCTAAAACACTATGGTGAGGTGGGTATGACTCTCCTCCTTTATAAATGAAGAGACTGAATCTTGGGGAGATCAATATTTTGATCAAGGTCACACAGCCTAAGTTCAAACCCAGTTCTGCCTGATTTCTAAGCCTTTGCTCTCTGTGTACATTCCTCTGCTTCTCCTTAGAGATCACTGAGCATAAATACTTCTAAATCTCTGAATTCCAAATCTGAGTGCTGATATTCTCCTTATTGTTGGGTATTTCCCTCCAGAATCATTTCAGAGCAAATAAAAAGTGTTTTTTAAAAACTATGTAGCGTGAACTGCCTTATGAGGGTTCACAGGAATTTCTGGGTCTGTAGAAAACTAGGGTCTGAGATGCCAGATCTGGAAGTAGAGGGTAGGAAATTAGGAAGATATGAAGCTTCTTTCAGCTCAAGGTCCTCTTCTAGTGCAGGCAAAACACAGGCATTGAACTGCAAGAATTACCTAATACATGAGATTAAAACTCAATATGTTGGCCAAAGAGAGATTTTTTTTTCCCTAATGACATAATGTTGAAAACAGAATCATTCTTGAGAATACCATAGAGATTGGAAAATGGGTAACAGGAGTCAAAAACTATGGGGTGCCTGGGTGGCTCAGTGGGTTAAGCCTCTGCCTTCGGCTCAGGTCATGATCTCAGGGTCCTGGGATTGAGCCCTGCATTGGGCTCTCTGCTCAGCGGGAAGCCTGCTTCCCCCCCCCTCTCTGACTGCCTCTCTGCCTACTTGTGATCTCTCTCTCTTTCTGTCAAATAAATAAATAAAGTCTTAAAAAAAACTATATGAATTGAGAACCCACAAATAAATTTCCTAAAATTAAATCTCAGGAAAGTGCTGCCCCATAGGTGCTACAATGTTCACTTTGCAATGCAGGAAAATGCAGGTCAAAGATTCTTCCAAAGCCTTTGATGTTTTGTCTACATGAGTTGTCAACTATATTTCAGAGTCCAGAATTCTTCACAAGTGAGTTCAGGATCTTCCTGTGTTGCTGTCTTGAACCCCGCCTCTGAAGAGAGAGAGAGCGTGCACATGCAAGAAGAAGGAGAGGGAGAGAGAGAATCTTAAGCAGGCTTCACCCCCAGTGCAGAGCCCAATGTGGGGCTCTCTCTTGACCTGGCATGACCTAAGCTTAAATCAAGAATCAGATGCTCCACTGACGGAGCCACCCAGGTGCCCTATCACCTCTCTGATTTTCGAGTGTTGAAACAACCTTGCTTTCTTGAGATAAACGCCACAGGGTCTATTATCCCTTGTATACATTCCTGCATTTGAGTTAAATGTATTTTATTCAGAATTTTTTGCATCTATGTTCATGAGTGATGTTTGTGATTTCCTTTTTAAAACACTTTTTGTTAGGTTTTGGTGGTAGAGTTATGCTGTTCTGATGAATAACTTGGGAAGTTTTCTCTTCTATTTTTAAAAACATTTGTGTAAATTTGGTGTTATTTTTCCTTTAAGTGGTCTTGGCTTGGAATTTTATTGGTGTGTGTGTTTGTAAACTGTGAGTTCAATTTATTTAACAGATATAGGGCTATTCAGGTTTTCTGTCTCAATTGGGTCAGTTATGTAAGTTGCTTTTTTTGGGGGGGGGGGAATTTATACTTTAACCTGAGCTGTAGAATTTGATGAACTTAAGTCAACAAATGACATTAATATTAAAACTTAAGGTTATTCATAATATTCTCTCATTATCCTCTATTTTCTGAAGAATGTGTAGTGCTAATCTTTTCCTTTCTCAAATTAAAACTTTGTGTTTTCTCATTTTTATTTTTGTCTTTTTTTTAAATTCAAAGCCTATTTAGGGATTTCTTAGTTTTCTTCATATCTTCACAGAATCATTGTCTGGTTTTTAGAAAAAACGTTTTCTATTTTTGTTTTCTATGTGATTAATACCTATCTTCTTTTTTTCCTTCTACTTTGATTGTATTTACATTTTCTCTTATTTCTTTTGTCTCTCAAGGTATAGACTTAGATCATAGATTTTACACTTTCTTCATTTTTTTTATTTGTTAGTTGTTTATTTATCAAGACATACTATTCCATAACCCAATATTCGTGCTTCAGTTCAGGAACACAGGTCAGTGACAAACTTCAATTGAACACAACCCAAAGAAATTCTTTACATTCCAAAATCACTTTGCACTCTGAAAGATACCAGCCCTCCTCATCTTCTCAAAATCTTTCATGGAATCGTAATTTCTGTAGAAATCTGCATATGCCTTCTTTCTTGGTTTGGCCACAGCAAACTTATAGAAAGCTGCAACCCCCAGGGATACAACGAAGGCTTCAACAACATGAAATCGCAGCGCTTGGCCAGAAGGCCTCGCATCTGAGGTTTCGTCAAAGCACTGGAAGTCATGGTAGTTATTCTCCTCTACACCGACCTCAACCCACTTTCTTCATTTTTAATATAAGAATTTAAAATTGAAAAATATCTTTTTTAAGGTTTTATTTATTCATTTTGGAGAGAGAAAGAGAGTGAGAGAGAAAATGAGATGGGAGAAGGTCAGAGGGAGAAGCAGATTCCCCATACAGCCGGGAGCCCGATGTGGGACCCAATCCCTTGACTCAGGGATCATGACCTGAGCCGAAGGCAGTTGCCCAACCAACTGAGCCACCCAGGTGCCCCAAAACTGTAAAATATCTTTATGCAGTGCTTTAGCTGCCTCCCACCAAATTTCTCATGTATTTTCATTATTATTCAGTTGAAATGTCTTCTAATTTTTAAAAATGACTTCTTTGACCACAGGATTATTAACAAGTGCAGAGTTTATTTTCCAAATAGTTGTTTTCTTTCCTTGATATCTTCTTTTACTGATTTCTGGTTTATCTTTTTCCTTTCTTTTTTCTTTTTTTAAAAATTCTATTAGCTAACATATAGTACATCATTAGTCTTAGATATAGTGTTCAACAATTTATCAATTGTGTGTAAAACCCAGGGCTCATCACATCATATGTCATTCTTGATGCCCATCACCCAATTATCCCATGCCCCCCCTCACCTCCCCTCCAGCAAACCTTGGTTTGTTTCCTGTAGTTAAGAGTCTCTCATGTTTTTCTCCCTCAATGAAGACTTCCTAATTAGTTTTCCCTCCTTTCCCTTACAATTTTCTGTGCTGTTTCCTATGTTCTCACATATGAGTGAAACCATATGATAATTGTCTTTCTCTGATTGACTTATATAACTCAGCATAATACCCTCCAGTCCCGTGCATGTTGATGCAAATGGTAATATTCATCCTTTCTGATGGCTGCATAATATTCCATCACACACACACACACACACACACACACACACCCCACATCTTCCTTTTTTTAAAATATTATTTATTTCTTTTCAGCGTAACAGTACTCATTGATTTTTGCACCACACCCAGTGCTCCATGCAATCTGTGCCCTCCCTAATACCCACCACCTGGCTCCCCCAACCTCCCACCCCCAACCCTTTCAAAACGCTCAGGTTGTTTTTCAGAGTCCATAGTCTCTCATGATTCACCTCCCCTTCCAATTTCCCTCAACTCCCTTTTCCTCTCCATCTCCCCCTGTCCTCCATGTTATTTGTTATGCTCCACAAATAAGTGAAACCATATGATGCTTGACTCTCTCTGCTTGACTTATTTCACTCAGCATAATCTCTTCCAGTCCTGTCCATGTTGCTACAAAAGTTGGGTATTCATCTTTTCTGATGGCTGCATAATATTCCATTACACACACACACACACTCACACACACACCACATCTTCTTAATCCATTTAGCTGTTGATAGACATCTCAGCTCTTTCCACACTTCGGCTATTGTGGACACTGCTCTTATGAATCTTAGGTGCAGGTGCCCCCTAATTTCTAGTTTAATTCCACTGTGAATGATGTCATTTTTTTTTACATTTATTTGAAACTTGTTTCATGGCCTGTTGTAATGTCTATCTTGAGCGTACCACATATGCTTGAAAAAGTAGGTATTCAATTTTAGGGTGCTATGCTCTACAAATATCAGGTAGGTTAAGGTGGTTCATATGATGTTGTTTGAATCTGTGTTTTTAGTAATTTTTAAAATTGAATCCTATTTCTGCTTGCTGGGGTGTGTCATAGTGGTGGTGGTAAAATCTCTAGCTATTATTGTGGAATTGTATACAGATTTCTTTCAGTCCAAGAAAGAAAACACTGCAGATGAGAGAATGTCATATCAGAGATCTTAAGCCACTTGTTAAATGTTATATATCTCCAGGTGGCAAAGTCAGCAT